AATTCCCACCCCCTAAGAGTGAGCCTATTATATGCCCCACCCTGTATGTCTTAATGACATTCTGCACGTTAAAATCGATGCCTTTTCGTCGAGATCAACCTGAACCGTTTTTCTGCATTTGGTCATTGTGACGCCGGCATTGCAATTATACATCCAAAGAGTTTGGAAGAGAGATAGATGTCGGTGTATTATTTTGAATGATGTGTACCACCAAATCCAACAGATTGCATGTCTTATTAAGCATTTCAACCTTAATCTTAATTCAGTTATACAGCCCGACTTTCATTATATCGAATTTGTGATAATAGTTTGGAACTATTCCTGCAACGATGAGCAATGGTTGTTGTTGGTCGTTTTTTTCTTCTTCTCTGAGGCGGATGGCTTTTATGACGCAATTATGCGACGCGCATTCGCCTAAATGAAAAATCCACAATCCGTCGACGATATTAACAAAGTTTATTGATGTTTTCTTGTTTATTTGACAACTTTCGATTCAATGAATAGTGTTTGGTATCAAAAACTCCGTTTATACACCAACAAACCACAAAATTGTTTTACTCTTAATGCAAAAAGCACACACATTTCCAAATGAAGGGACATGCACACATTTTCCGAATTCTTTTAAATCGGATTTTATTATAATCCTTTTTGATGCAGAATGAAGAGAATCTGCTGCAATGAGCTGTGTGGTTTTAATTAAAAAGTCTACGCCTCCTACGTACAACTCAACGGATAGAATCCGTTTTATCATAGTGCACCAAGTGAAACTCGCACACATTCTTCATTGATTCGATGAAATTGTTTGTGTAGTGAATTTTTGGCAAGTTTTCGACGTATTTAAATGAAAAGTGCTGTACCTCTCGGGCAACGTCTTATTACAATCCATGGTTACACATAATGAGTCACTCAAAAGTGACATTTCCGCCATTGCGAAGAGATCATAAATTACCCTGTCATTCCATTATTAAATTCAAAACTTTCCTATTTACTTACATTATGTAAATCAATATGCAAAAGGGTCCACGTCTCTCTCTCTCTCTTTGTCTCTTCAGTTTTTTTTAATAAAACATTGTTGCAATGCTGAATCTCCACTTAGCCAATCTATTTTGCATATAAACATTTGACCCATAGCTTTATTCTAACAACATTATTTTGGCTATTTTAATGGCCACCGAGCAACTGTATCTTATTAAAAACAAGTCCAAAAACGGCACATGACATGTATTACATGCTTTTAATGATTTAGAAGCATTTATGACAAATGCCTGTGCGATATTATATTAATATCGGTTTAATAATAGTCTCGTTTGTCCCACGCATGCACACGAGCTCGACAAATGTCGTTTAATTAAAACAGATATGAAAAGCACATCTTAATTCCCTGTCCGTTTAATATTACATTGAATTTACATATTTAATAAAGATGATGGCAAGACATAAAATTATTACGTAAATCGCAAAAGGAAGCCATCAAAATATAAAGCATACACGCATACAAAAATGGCATTTCAAATCAAAGTTAAATGCAGTTGGCGTTTTATTTTTAATAAAATATCAATCAAAATTAATTCAGAAAAAAAATTGTCTCGCACAAAATAATTTGTAAATCGATTTTTTTTGTCTTTAATTTGTTTTTATTATTTTTTATATCAATGATCATATTTTATGCATTGATTGAATGAACGCATTTCTTAATTGATTTCAACAATAATTTTCCAATGAAATGCCAAACGGAATGGAAGCAAATTATGCATATCAAATATATCGAATATTAATTTTTAACACCATTTAAATTGATTTCATGGGAATTTTATCGGATAAATTATTGCAAACCATGCATAGATTCAAGCGAAAACTGAGCTGCGACCGAGTTTAGAGCGTAGTATAAAAAAAACAGAGCGAATGAGCTCAAACAAGGCAAAAAAAAAAACACAAAAAGTCATCATATAAGAAAGTGAACTCCGACATTGGATGATGCTTAATATTTTACTTTCACAATGCGATATGAAATAGCGTAATTGTATCATTTCATTTGAAAAAGTTTCATCTTTTTTATCTTTACTTCGACGATAAATTTGAAATGAATGCGGAATTTTTCCTCGGAATTCATGAATTTCGTACGAAATCGTTTGTCTACGAATGATGTTAATTTCTTGTTCGAACGAACAGATAAATCTATATGTCAGAGTCTCACAGATAGATAGCGAGAGAGAAACAATTCAAATGAAGAACCAAGAATGTTTTACTATATTTAAAAAGTTCAGCAGAAATCTTTTCAAATGAATTTTCCCTTTTAATTGTTTGAATTTAATTAAACTTGGTATTGAACTATGTGTAGCTTCATTTCTTTTCCAAGTCAATGCATACATCATACGGTCGACTGTGTATGCCAAGATTGAATTCAATGTTTGTGTGTGTTCGCGCGCGTTGAGAGCGTGGCAAGGCAATTTAATGACCGCATTTATGCGACACTCGCCGGCCTACTGTGTTCAATGTTCTTTTAAACCAATATCGTAGCCAAATTTGGAATTGATCATTGCTGACGGAACGAAGAATATGGAATAAACAGAAAACTACCCAAAAAAATATATTTTCTAGAAATAATGCATAATTGTGTGCATTTACCGTGAATGCTATTAAATTATCGTGATGAAGGAAAAAAGACTCTCCATAATTTAATAGCATATCAAACACGAATTCGACTTTAAGTCGACATTTTATATGATAATTAAGAAATGACAAAAAATAAAGTAGATATTTTAACAATATAATAAATTCCATTTGTTTTAATTAATAACAAAAAGACTCATTACTTGCCATTTAAAATGGTTTAAAATATGGATGTCATCAATGTTGTGTACATGCAAACCGGAACTTCAGTCAAGTGCTGCAATCTTCGATCAGGTTGAACCGTTCAGATGTTGAATTGGCTTTGATGAAGTCTCATAACTGCTAACATTTAAACCTGTTTCAATTTATACTTGTTACCTTTCGTCTGAATTACATAAAATAAATCGAATGAAGTGTAAAAGAGGCAGATGCTGCTGTTGGCCGAATAAGGCATATGCTTGGTCGAATAAATAAATAAAAAGCATACAATCAATGTGTTTATAGTAGAGTAGGCTTCTGTGAAGTAAAACGAGCGAATAAATTTGCATGGCTATGAATGAACGTGACCGTAGGCTATAATTTGTTTGATTTGCATTTTGTTTGTTTTTATTTTCCAGATGAATAAACTACAGAGCATCGTGTGTGCAGTGCGTACGCGAGTAATTATGTTCGATAAAAAGCATTGCGAAATGGTTCTGCCATTATCGAAACACGCCCTTATGGTAAGTAGAAAATGTCTGATGCTCCATAAGAATTTCCTATTTTTTTTATTGCGACTTTCATTAGTATGTCTTTAAGATGGATGCTTCTCTCTATCTATCTATCCATCTATCTATTTATTTATTTATCTATCTATCTCCATCTTGTCAATTGGCCAAAAGGATTTCAATTAGTCCGCAGATGGTGATTTGACTTGAAAGTGATGATCTCTGTCCATTTCAATCTTGATGGTCAATATTTTGGTCTATATTGCATATGACGGAGCTGAATTGATGGATGTAATTTGGAAAATGTGAGCTGCATTGCGTTCACACATTGCACCATTAGAGTCCATTGCAATCAATTACATCGAGTGTATAGGTTGTACATTTGGTTGATGTGCATCGGTCGTTATATTGAGATTGAGGGTTACAAAGGATTGAGGGTTACAAAACTCTAAAAGGTTTTTAACGTAACAACAGAAAACCAAAGTTTATTGACAACTACGTTTTACATGTGATAATGGCCATTTGCTCCAAATATCACAAATGATATGGTCCATCCAACCACCACACAATGCACACAAAGACCATGCCATTTTTATTGTGGCATCAGTGATTCGTCGCCGTCGCCTCTATGTTGTGGATTATAGTTGTTAAAATTAATAACTAAATTATGAAAATGTGAGTGCATTTTTGGCAGACATATCACTTGTAGATTGGTGACTTTCTTTTTTTACGAAGCCATTTTCGGCCACGAAAAGAAACACAGGGAGAGAGAGAGAGAGACTGGAACTTGAAAAGAGATAAGGTTTTATCAGTCGGTGAATGTTCCCAATATCATAGCAACGATGAGTAAAAAAAAACTAAAATGTTTTGCTTTTCGTATAACGCATACCATATAATTGGAATAATAACATTCTTGTGCTCATTCATATGCTTAAAAGCACACTCGCTCTACGACAAAAACAAAATACAACAACATTCCCATCGTAAGATAACATTTCGAGCAAGAGAAAAAAAACATGAGCATAAATTTCTCTGTGGTCTTCAGTCTTCAGTCTTCAATGCATATCGTATGAGATTGATACAATAAAAGTTTTCTTATTAACCAATATTCTGAAAACCGAATTTGGTGCGCGCAGTACATGGCACCATGTGTATATCACTCATTCACCCAATGCTCATGCATGGCTCATAGACACACACACACACATGCATACGAATGATATCGCGCGCGCACACGTATCCCATATGCAGCCATATTTGTGAGCAAGCGAGTAATCGAAAATGTATCTAACGAATATGGTACACAAAAAGGAGAGAGGAAAAAAAAACATACACACACACGTACGACAACCATCGAAGTAACAAGCCCACGAGACAAATATGTCTGCCATGCGAGATAAATTGGTGGCAGTGTCAGTGGTGCTAGCGCGCCTCAACCTAATGCATTCACTCACTCGTTGAACTATTAAAGATAGAAGGAACGGCATACATACGTGTATATCCATATTGAGTACGACCTCGAATATGTTGTATGTGATATAGATTGGTATGCATTATAGATGCTTTTTAGGTGCTATTTTTGCTATGTGAAACCATAATGTTAAACTGTAAAATGCATTTGTGCACCACCTCCTCCGTGGGTTTCTTTTCCATCGGTAAAATGTGAAATAGCACAGCACAACTTGAATACAGAGTGTGTGTATATGTTTAATGACAACGATGACGAGAGATCGAGAGTACATTCGGTTTTTCGGGCATCTACTTGAACTGCGGTCGACTACTTTTCTAATTCTTTTGCTTCGTTTGTCGTTTGAATTTTCTTCATCTTCACTCCTTACCGCTGACACTATCTTGTTTCTCTTTTTGATGCTGTTGGTGTTGTTGTTTTGCCGTTCTCTTTGTGTATTCAGCTTTTATTGCTTGTGCAAGCACGTACACCAAAAGAGAACGAGAACACCAAAGCAATATCGAGAAATGTTCATAGTCTTTCATAAATGCAGAGTACACATATGCATGTAAAGTATGAATCTAATAAACCATAACTGTACCTATTACACTATGCTGTGTTTCTGAGCACACATACACAGTTTGCATGTAAGTGACGAATGTAATATTGTTTTTTTTTTTGCGACAGCATCGCCTTTCGCATAGATATGACACTCATAGATCCTCAACATTCATCTTGTCATGTTGTGTACTCTCTTTTTTTCCTCGCCTTCTTTTCGTATGCATCGTATGTTCATGCTGTTGTTGTTTGTATCGTATACCAATTTTCATCCTTTTCCAGTCCTCCTGCACATACCGTGTTTATTTGTTGTTCATTTGCTCTCGCTTTCGATTCTAGAGCAGAGAATGTATATCACATTTGTTGTTGTTCTCTTCGTGCTGTGTGTATTTCTCATGCCCCGTTGCTATTTTGGTGCTCACGTAATACACATTGTCATTATGAACATACACACACTCTTACTACACCAACCAGAATATTTTCTTCGGTCATTCAACATTGAACAGCTCGAAATAATATTATTTTTTCGCTTGTTCCCTTCTCTTTCTCTCTTTCCCTATCTATCTCTGGCTGTCTCCATCGCATTCTGACTCTCACGGTCGCCCATTCAAATTCGTGGCAAAATACCTTTACTTCTCATCGAAAATGTTTATATAAATAAGGTTATTTGTATTTTCTTCATATAGCTTCGATTTTATTTTTATAAGCCGGTATAACGTATGACATGTGTACGTGTCAGTTGTGCAATATAAACGGCAACGAGAAAAGTTCTGGCTATCCCCACACGAAGCCTCAACGAATTTTCGACGATGATGATGATGACTTTGTGTTGTTGTTGTTTTTTTCTTCTTAAAAACTTTTGCACACGACAACCTAAAATTGCGCCGAAGTTTTAAAGAACAATTTGAACATTGATCAACGAACGTACCCACACATGCATACATAAACTCATTTAACCTGATACCTGACACCATCATCACTTCTGAACTGATTGGAATGGAATTTTGTTGTTTTCTCTTCCTCATTCAAAAGCGAGAGAGAAGAAGAAAAAAAAAACCTGAAACCAAAGTTTATACTATTCCATATAGCATAACCAATACGGTTGCGGTTTCGATGTTATTTTATTATGCTGAAAATAAATCAAAAACAAAGTGATGGAAATAAAATTGCACTGATGCCATATTCCTGTGTTCACGTTATTTTATCATCATCACCGTCATCATCGTTGTCGTTGTTTTAGTCGTAATCGACATGAGCAGTTTTCTTCGCATCACCAGTTGCTAAACAGCCGTGGAACATACTTTCTCGTTCAAACTTTAATGCACAAAATTGAGAGCATTGAGTGTAGATGCGAAATTGTCACCATTTCTAAATATCATAAGATTTATTATGCTTATGAACGAAATGGTATTATATTTTGGTATGATGTGAATACAAATAGATTGTTTTTTTTTTTTTGTTCGCCTTTCACTTAGAATGATCAACCGCGCAATGAAATAAAATCTATGACAGTTTTTTTCTACGCTTGCTTCCTCGTCTCCTTTGTTCGCGCCGCAAAATACATATATATGTATGAATTACAGATAATTTAGTGCAAATGTTATATTGGATAGCAATAAACGAAAAGTTCACGCCTTTGCTCAGGTGGTTCAAGTGACAAGTTTCATTTCACAAACAACAACAAACTAATAAAAAAAAAATCGGAGCAAAATTGAATTGCAAATGAGTTGAACCCTGGAATATGTTGATGGGTGGGTGCCCATATTTTATCTTGAATATTATCATTTTCAACAGTTCATTTATGGATACAGATCTAATAAGTTTCTAATCGATTTTTTTCGGTGGATTCGTTATGAATTTCGATTTATTTTATTTTATTCGAATTTAAATTGATTTTGTCTGACTTCATAAATATCATTCTTAATTAACGAATTTGCACATTTGCCAACGAAATGGTGTCGATGACGTGATTTTTTTCCAATTTACCTATTCATATCAAATCATATGGGTATGTAGCAAAGTATACACCCATTTCAATGTGATTCGTCAAGCAATGAAACAATGTAAAATGGAATGCATTTCGGTCGTTGTTCACTTCCTGGTTTTTGGCAAATATGGTATGTGCTCGATTTGTTCGTTTTTAATTAAAATACGTAAATTAAAGTCAATCAAAATGTAATTTTGAAGATTTTGCATTGAATCCTTTTTCGTCCGTATTTTCAACTGTTTTCGTTCGCGTAGTGAGTGAATGTTTCGATGTCGTCGTTGTCATTGTAAAATCGATTTTCATTGCCTCGGTGCTTAAAACAAAACGATTTCCATTTTTGCTCTGCTGTGATTGGGAGCAACTTCAACTCGACTGGCATCGAAACGTTGATTCGTGTACTGCGTATTTTTTTTTCGCTCACATGCTGACTATGACGCTGTGTATTCGTACTCGTCCAATATGCACGTGGTTGATAGCGCAGAAAGAAAACTGATTGCTCTTTTAAGTCTCAATTCAGTCTAATTGAACTCATAAAAATCTGTACCCTGCTTCTTTATATTTTACACAAATACACACACTCACCAAATCATAGTCAAACGACATATACTCGATAGAGCGAATGAAAACTCTCTCGCGCGCTAAAGAACAGAAAAAAAACAACAAGCACATTGAGTTTGTTATGAAGGAAATACCTAATTCACTGTGTGTCATAACAAAGAGAGCGAATCATTTGCATTTTGCTTAGAATGGATATTTGAATGTGTGCCGCAATGCCAATCAGCCAAGAGTGGCACAGTGAATATGATGCGTGAAAATGTTCATCATAGAATGAGCACGAGAGAAACAAACATGGAAAAACATCATTTATGGAATTAAAAAAAAAATTCGCTTCCGAATTGAGTGGTGTCTTGAATTGCTTACGTTCAAAACGAACATTTAATTGGAGCCACACAATGAATGCACGTTCTATTCAACTTCGTCTTCATCGTCGTTGTCGACAACGTCTTTTTTTTAACGAAGCGA